CTATAACAGTGGTATAGCAGGACATTCAGAAGATGATGTGCCTAAGAATTAAGTCGTTGTATAACTTGAATGTGGACATGATATAACTGCCAAGTAACAGTGCGAATACAATGTTGTTTTCTACTTTAATGGCTGTTTTTCTAAATTTCAAAATGCTTCTTAAAAGGAACTGAAACCTGATAGGTCTGTAAAAGGTACCTCACTTGACCATCTCTAAAGGAAAACACAATCAATGACAAAATAAACTGTCACAGTTAAATCCTACTAATTGTTTTCAGTACCAAAGCTTTTAAGACTCAATTTCCAGTGTTTTGGAAAAAATGGTGATGTGCTTAGATTCCATGGTATGTTTTTCACTTTAGCTATCCCTTGTACCATTAGTTGTATCATTAGAATTATCACTCTGCTCTTAATCTAGAAAGGATTTGGCTGTTTTAAGATTATGATTATTTTTTAAAATCAGTAACATAATGCTTAGTAGATTTTCTGATCAGCTAGCTTCTGTTTTTCCAGCAATTTGAGCTATTTCTGTGTTTATAGGCATGAAGCCACACACCTAAGGATTCCATTTAAACCCTTTATATAGCATTAGTACTTGTGTATTGCTTTACAGCTCAGCATGATAGAATTTAATAAACTTCATAGTGAATATGGCTTATGACAATTTTTAGTGGGTTTTCTGTTGAGCATTAAACAGTTCTGGTAATGTGTATAAGGCTGTGTATGTTTCCTGCTTTTTGTAATGTTAGTAAATCTAAAGCTGTCCAAGGTGCAACTAGAAGTGGTCTGTACTTCCCCTGGTGTGCTGCCCCCCCCCCAAGTTAAATTAGGTTGAAGTTGGATGTTGTGTTGTGCCAAGAAACTCTCAATGGAGTATTCTAATGCATTCCTAGAGTTACAGCAATGCATTAGCCAGTATTTTCAGATGCATTTAACTTTTGGGGTGGAAAGAAATTGACTTAATCTCAAAAATGCCTGAGCCAAAATTTGGGGAAGCTTTAATGTACTCTCTTGATTCTGTATATTTAATCTATGTAAGTTCAGTATAAAACCCTTTATTTTTCTGTAATTACTTAAGTTGTAGATAGTTTATACATCCATACTTCTGTCTCTCTGAAGAATGCTGTGGATAGGTGAAGGAGGTCCAAGCGAACATAATAACTGTTCAGTTAATAAGTATTCCACCCTTTCTCTTTCATACCCCCGTTTTAATCAGGTATGATAGCTATCCACTAGCGTAGCACTAAGCAGATGCAAGGGTAAAGGAGCGAGAAAAGGGAAGGAAATTCAGAATTGTAGTTCTCAAAACAGTACTAATTTGACTAGTGGTGGTTATTTCCTGCTGTATAGGAACGTGTGTGGCGAGCAGTTCAGAGTTTGCAGTCTGCTTGTGCTCAAGGTGAGTGACAAATACCCATATGAACTAGAAGTTTTAGCTTCCTTATTGGGGTACGGCATGTTGATGGCATCTTAGTTGCATTACAGTAGCTAAAGTGCCAGAACTCTATGTCTGAAAGCATTTTTTTCCCACTTCTTGATGGAGCTTTCAAGTATGATTCAACCCTGTCAGTAGTTCTGAGTAAAGGAATCTATGTGGCTGCCACTAGGTGTTTTAAAACTAGTTATTTGTGGTGTGTAACTCGTGAACTAGGAACTGAAGATTATAATTTCAAGCTCTTCCTGTGATGATCTGTCAACTAAAATGATGCTTAAAGTACTCTAGTTGCTTGTGGTTTTCTTCAGGTACGGGCAATGATTTAAGAGCTGCATCAATCATGCAGACAGCAAGCTTCGTGAGCTCAGGCTTTCTGTGGGAGCTCCCTTCCTCTCATAAATCTTTCACCTGTTTTGCCAGGGAATTAAATGTTGGTTTTAAATCCTTTCTAGACAAAGCTTATCTGCTTTTTTTTGATGGTGAGATACAGGTTTCTACATGAGGAGGATCTGTGGAATGTGTTCTTCTCTCTACCTTCCTATTACAGGAAGAACATTTTTGGACTTAAAGATTTGTAAAGCTGAAAAAGTGGCAATATAGCTATAGCAATTGGAAACACTTGTGCACTGCAGTTTTGTCTCTGCAGTCTCATGCTTGGTTGCCTTCTTGTGTCAATGTGCTCTTTTCCCTGACATAGTACATGGCATGCTAATATCTTCTCCATCACTGTCTTGGGGAGGGTCATAGCAGTCTCATCTTGGCCAGACATACTGAGCATGAATTCACTGAATAAAAAGGCAGATCAAGATGCCTCAGTGGGTTAACTACCTTCAAATCTTGATTTGGGAAGTGCCTTGAGACACCATATAATCTAGCCTCACTATGTCCATTATCACCTCTGGTAGAGGTTTGTCTAACATTCTTGAACACTTACACCATGAGAGACTTAGTAGCTTTGCCAAGCAATCTAAAACATGCTTATATTCTCTTTTGAAAGGTGTTCCTGATCTGAAGTCTGGGTCTGTTTTCTTCAGCTAAGGCTTTCTTCTTTGACTGATGTGGAAAAAATGCCCTTCACTGAGAGCTTGATCCATCTGGGGAAAATTTCTTACCTGTTTCACACAGTTTCTTCAGCACAAACAACATGACTACATTTCATATTTTGGATTCTGCTTCCAGGGCTTTCTTGCCTTTCTTACCTCAGATTCTCCTTCAGTCAGTTATTCTCTGACGCTCAGCACCCAGAAAAGGATGTAGGACTCCAAAATAAGTCTTGCTGTGGCAGACTATTTTGCAGGCTGCATGTGTCTACATATAGTCCTGTTTGGTGCTTGACTTAAATATAATAAATCATTGCTGATTTATGTTTGAACTGTAAGCTGCAGTCATTTAGGAGCTTACTTGGAATTGTGGCCTAGCCGGCTGCTCAGCAGGCAGGGTTTTTTTGTAAGTGAGCTGGTCCTGCTTATTAAGGTCTGTCTTAAGACTTGATATTCTATGGGTCAGTGATGAAGTATCTGTGTTCCTGCAAGCAGACCTGTCACAGGGCTTGTGTTGCCTTTTCTCCTTCCCCCACCACTGGCTGAGGAAGGCTGAAGCTGGAACTTGGATTGCAGATGCCTGCCAGGAAGTGTTTATAGCAATCCTCAGCTGTGGAATTACTGGTGATCATCCTCTTTACCAAGGCACTGTGGTAGGACAGATCTTGTGCAAAGCTGTACTTGTAGATTTGAAGCCTTGTAATTACTGAGCTTGGCTAATCTTTTGAAGGTGTCAATGAGCAAATGTTTTCTTCCCCTTTGTGTAAGCTAACTTCAGATCTGTGCTCCGAACAATGTTTTGGGACCGCTGATTTGGTGTTCTTTCATAGAAGCTTTTAGATTTATTGTATGTTTTGAAAGCAGATCAACTGCGAAGTTCCAGATGAAACAGGAAAACTCTGCTTGAGGCAGTTATCTGCCACTGCCAAACTTCAGTGGTTCAGGCTGAGGCTGTCCAAGCTGTAACTGGTGATAACTTTACAGTGGAAATGGCTTTCAGCTGTAGCTGATCATGTTTGTCTTTAGCTCTCTAAGGGAGCTCTCCTTGTGCCTAATTATAAGGAGGGACCAGACTGTAGATCAGCTAACAGTCTATAGATCAGTTAACAGCATAGCTGAAACTGAAAGGCTATCTAAAAATCTGTGGGAATTGGATGTATGTTTTTCCACTCTATTATACAGTGTTTTTCCACTCTATTATACAATGGTTTCATGTCTCTTCCATGATCTACAGAGAAAGGCATTTTTAGTGCCAGTACAGCATCAGATCTTACAAGTGCTACAGAAAAAGTGTAAGAAGCGCACCTGAGCGAAATAATAAAAATAAAGTGCTAGGTATAATTCTACCTCTTAAGAAATCAGGGGAATATTGATTGCATAAGGGTGGCTTGCTCAAATTAAAGTTCTGCTGCTGTTCTCACCCTTTCCTAGGACGTATAGCTGAAACCGCATGAGGAAATAGTGCAACTTCTCTTGATTCCTAAGGGAAACTGGACGAGGGGAAAAGACATAGAACAGACTAGTTAATTAAGAACTCATAAGTCTGTTAATCTCAATTCTTCTGAATAAAATAATTCTGAAGTTATTCCAGAAGGGACCTATTAGGGTTATTCCTGACTTGTCTCAGATGTGTCATGTTTTGGGTTTTTTTATAGAAAATTAGACTTGAGGGAAAGCAAGCAGTCTAGGGTCTAGTGCCTCTAGAGATAATCATTTACCTGTGACACACCTTAACAATAGCTTTTCCAATGCCTACAGGTTGGGCTTTCTGTCTCCAGTTGCTTTTTTGCACAGTTTTGTCAAATGTTATGCATTAGCCTGACCTCACATCATTGAGGCTTCTTCCATGGGAGTAGAGATGACCACAAATGATGCATTTCACAGTGACTTTTAAAGTATGATACAGATATTCGTATCTCCTTGGTGTACCTCTTTCCTATAACTTTTGCTGGAAAGTTGAGGATTGCCTTACACAACGGTTCCTGTTACACTGTCTGGGTGTCTCACTGATGTGTGTCAGTCAGTAATCCTTACAGGCAAGTCTTAATACTTACATGAGCATACTGCAAAAGCATCAGTGTCCTGTGATGCAGTAGAATCTCCTGTAAAGAAGCTATTAATTCATGTCTCTTGGCTTGTTTTAGACCTTAGCAGTGCAAGTTAGCTTGTATATCAAAGTGGTAATAATGTAGATCATAACTTCTCTCCTCCTCTCCTAAAGTTTGTCCAAACATATAATGCATTATTAGACTGCAACACCTGGAAGGCCTCAAGGAGACATTATGAGGATAACTATGTAATTGGAAAGATATATTAATGCAAAATAATATAATAAAGAATAACTTCTGAGTAACTATAGTTACCCTCTTACTAGTTAAGCTTGCCATTGGCTGCTTACATCAAGACCCGAAACTGCTTTTTTGTTTTGGACAAGAGGAATCAAACTGTCCCCTGGGTATTCCCAAATACTGTGCTTTAACAGATATCAGGCATGATGCATTATCTATTCTCCATATGTATTTTAGAAAATCTCCTTGGAATACCTGAAGTCCCTATGGCTATGTATGATGAAGATATCTTGAAAAATCCCTTTTATTTGGCCATTCAGAAGCGGCGTCCTGATCTATGCAGCAGAGTTGCAGAACTCCATGGTATTGTAAGTATAAGTACATTTAAAAGCTGCTTATTGAGTAGTAGCTATATGTATTTGATTTAAATACCTGCTGTGACACATGTAAAGATTAGTGCAAGCCTACAAAGCCTGGAAGTGAACCAGAGCAACTTTTAGTTTAAGTTGCTTGTTATTTACTAATACGGACCTCTTGATACATTGCATGGTAGGAAAAGGTCAAAGCTGGTAATGTTTCTAAACTTTACAGGAATCTTATTTTCTTTGCTGTGAACTAAAGTTGCATTTTCTCCCACTTGTAACTTAAAAATAGGACTGACCTTTTGGAAACCCTTGAGGACAGACAATCACTCATTTCTGACAGCATTTTACATAGCAAAATAAAACCATTGAACTGAGCTGGAATAGAAACTCCAATCCTTAAGACTTCTAATCTGGGTATTCTATAATTAGTCTTCATCCAAAATGAAGTGTGCTGAGACTCCATTAAACTTGGGGTTTAATGTTACCTGATTATAAAGTTAAGCCTTAAATTGCATGGGGTTCTTTCAATTGTATATTACTTAAGATGGTGATGTGATCAGTTCACCACTTCTTTCTGTATTGGAATGCCATTTCTGAAAGCTGAGTACTGAAAGAACCACTTGCTTCATGCTTGTCTCTTCCCTGACAGGGAGAGAGATTTCTCTTCACCATGTATACAGTGTTTGTTGTATTCATAATGTGTTGTTTTCTAATTAAGAATTTGTTGTAAGCTGCCAGTCTGTTGGTGTGCAGTAAACCCAAGATGTTTATCTTTGATTTTTTTTTTCTTCTTTCTGATGGTTCTTCACTTTAGTTTGAAAATATACTTCACTTTTACTAGCTGCCTGATTTTAAGTCATTCCAGTGACTGGTGCTAAGTAACTTAAATAAGATTCAATTGCCTTCTCTTTATTGTTGCTTACTTCAGTTACATCTGTCATCCTTTTTCAGATAAGTGACTAAATGAAACTTCTAGGTTAATCACTGGACTGTGTGTCTATCAATGGCCTTTTTTATTTATTTAAACAAAAGCACTTACAGTTGTTATACATCTGCCAGGAAATGTTCATAAGCCAGATTCAACTGCTTACTGCTAAAGGGCAAAAGCTATTGGTGTTTAGCTGGTGATACATGGTTCTTATTTCTAAAGCACGATCTGGCTTTTTTAGGTGTTAGTTCCATGCAAAGGAAGCCTTTCAAGCAACAGTCTTTCTACCTGCCAGTTTGAATCTTATGTTCTGAAGCCGCTAGAAGAAAACTTTCAGACCTTGAATGGAAAGGTACTTGTTTTGATATCTGAATGTAGCTTGGGGACAATCTAATCAATGATTCACTGCAGTTGATGACTGATAGTGTGAACTAATGGAGTGGTACCTAGGAGTTAGAGCTAGCTGGCAAACGTAGTATATTGCCCATCTGAGCCAAAGTTCCTAGGGATATACTGCTTTCTAGCAAAAGCTGTATTTTGGCATGTACACAAGAGTAGTTGTTCTGTTCAGATGGTAGCACTGCCTCTGATTTCAGCTTACTACTTTGGTGAAGCAACTTTGTCAATTTATCTGTGTTTTGTGGCTGTTAGGAAGGAACTTCGTTGTGTGGCAGAAAGGGCCACACAATCAGCTAAGAACTGTCTTTCTAGCTTTCAGGCATAAAGTAGCCTACCTATATTGTATGCAGATGCAAGTTCACCAAAGCTTAAGATAAAATTATGATGGTATCAAGTTGTATCTGAGGCCTGATGTATTAATTCAGTGAGTAGAAACTGACTAATGTAGCAGGAAGCCATGATAACCACTGTTAACACTGCATAGGATCGTACTTCTTTTGCTTGTAATTTTGCAGTCTGAGATCTTGCACCTGTTTGGAGGCTACCATCTAGAGCTTCCTGCTGCAGTTATCCTCACTGGAGTTGCTTAAGAAGTTAAAGCTGAGCATGAGAAATGTAGACAAGATGTGTGATGTTTTTCTGAAGCTGGACTTAGGCCACAATTCCAAGTGTTTTTCAATTTCCCTTCTACTCTAAAATGTTCTGAAGTCTGCAAATAATCACTTAGACCTTGGAGATTGTCTGAAACCTCCTCTAGTAGCAGACTTGTTAAGTAGGTATAAGTAAGGTTTAGCTAGCCATTGTAGACTGAAGGAGTCAGTGTCTACACAGCACGAGAATATGAAATCTCTTCAATCTGGGACTTTCTTGTCTTGCAAGATTTTCTTTTTTCTCTAGAAATGTAGTTATACAATGGAGAAGCCAAAGAGTAACTTTCTTCTGGCAGAGTTTTACACTTGATCTTGGTTTTTGGTTTGTTTCAGGAGATCTTCATACAAGGAAACCTCATCATTTTAGGAACTGGTTTTAATTATCATCTCTCAGTACCTGTTCTTTTTGAGGAAACATTTTACAATGAAAAAGAAGAAAGCTTTAGTATACTGTGCATAGCTCATCCATTGGAAAAAACAGAAAGCTCAAGTATGTATTGAAGTGTTAACTTGGTGGTCTTGTTAGCACAGTGTGCAAATTGGTATGTTTGATATGCTTAATTTCCTTCATTCTGAAAAGCTTTGGCTTGGTTGAAAGCTCTTGGCTTTTATTAGCCTGCTGGGGTGGATGTTGGTACGCTGCTGGAGAAATACCAAGTTGCTGCTGGGCAAGCTTAATTTTGTAGGGTCTGTGCCCCAGTCTCAGCACTAAAAATCATCTGTGGAATACTTGATCCAGCATGATACTTTTAGCAATGCTCAGTTTAGTGCTGACTTCAATAAAAAGGGATTTAGTCTTAAATGTGATGTGTCTTGAGGTGCAAGGTAGATGCACAAAAAACTGGAGAGGTAGAATCTTTCATGATCACTTCATCAGTAGTTAGAGGTTGTATAGCGTAGTTATGTAGCAGCTCTTGTGGTCGTGGTCTGTCTCATTAAGTTGAGTGTGTTAATTTTTGGCCTAGTACGGAAAATGCTCTTGGTAAGGCTGGAACGCTATTTCCAAGGCTGCTATTAAAGCAGTGAATGTAACAGGATTTCCTTGTGAATTTGTGTAACAGTCTGTGTTTACTAATTAAAAGCAGCAGAAGCTTTTTAAAACATGCTTTTTCTGAAATAAAAACATCTAGTCTTCCTAAATACATAAGAATATTCCTTGAAACAAACGATGACCAAGTGAAGTAATACTAGGGTAGTGTGAACTAAGTACTCTGAAGGAAGTATGAAAATTTTTCTCAAAAAAAAGGACATACATATAGGCTTAAATTCTATAAATATTAATCTAAAAATAAAAAAATTATTCTTGTGGCATTCCTTTTTTGGCCATTACTTAATGTAGTTGTATAGCAGTCTTTCAGAAGTGAGGTAATTTTTAATTTCAAAAGTAATTTGAAATGAATGAGAATCAAAGCCTGTTATTAGTTGGCTGCCTTTGATTGCAAATGAAAGACTTGGCTAGAAAAAAACTTTTGGAAAAGCAATATGAATTTTAAGTGAGGGATCCAATTGTCATAGTCAGAAGGAAAGTGGATTTAGTTTAATGTTTACATGAAGCAACTTTGCTCTCCCATTCAGAGAAAGCGTGTCTAACTAAACAATAGGCTATATAAAAATCCAAGATGGGATTTTCACAGCTCACTTAGAGCACACTTGACTTCCTGCATGGGCATTCAGTCAATACTGTAATGTGCTTTTCTTCTACTTTCAAGCTTGAGACTTGCACTCAGATATTGTGTGTGTATGTAGCAATAAATTACCCCAGGATAAAAAAGCATGTGAAATTCCAAATAAATACTTGACATAAAAGGCAAGAGAGCCTGCTTTAAATGTGATGTATAAAATTCTTTTAAATTAGTAGCAATACCTGCAGTTAGAGGTGTAGTAAGCTGAATTTTTCATGGTACAAAAGTTGGCTGTGTATGTAGGGACAGAAAGTACTTTACTGTGCATATATAAAACCTATGTGTTAATTCTTGGCTTTCATTTTAGGTGAATCTACAGCTTCATCAAATTCCTATTCTCTTAAAAATATTGAAGATGTTAGAGAATTCTTGGGAAGGCACTGTGAGAGATTTGATAAATACATAGGATCGTTCTATAGAACATTTAAAGAACATGAAAGGAAAAGTCTCCGCCACTACATAGTCAGTATCTTGCTTCTTGATGCTTAATTTACTAAATATAATTCACTTCACTGCTTTGGCTGTCTTTTTGTCTTATTGAGCTTTTCTGTGTCAGAGTAGTCTAGAGTTGAAAAAGGTGGGAAGGGAGAAAATAGAATTCTTAATTGTGAATTACCACATCTTAATTATTACGTAAAGGCAATTTTTCTAGCTAAAAATTTTACCATAGCACACACTTTGAAGGCAGGGAAGACTTCCTTTCTTTGCTTATTTATGCTTTGTTGCTTCAAGTCAGATTAACCTGAATCTAAATGCTTTTTTTTCTCCCCTGCCAGGATTCTGTCAATGCACTTTATACCAAATGTCTCCAGCATCTTTTGAGAGATTCGCACTTGGTAAACACTTACTCCTCTAAATACATAGTACATAGATAATTTATTGCTTAAGTAGTGCTAACTTTCTCTTGCTGTTTGTATGGCTTTCCTTTTCTAGAAGATGCTTGCAAAGCAAGAAGAGCAGATGAATCTGATTAAACAAGCAGTTGAAGTAAGCATCTGAAATGAAGGAAAATAATTAGCAAGCTATTTTTAACTCTCACTTTCATGCCTAAAGTACTGTGTTTTTCTACAGATGTATATCCACCATGCTATTTATGATCTAGTCTTTAAGTATGTGGGGACTATCGAGGCAAGTGAGGTAAGTTTGTTTGATTGCTAAAGATTAGTTACGTTAATCTAATGCATTTTAAAAAACTATTGCCTTTCTATTGATTAGGACGCTGCTTTTAACAAAATCACGAGGAGCCTTCAAGACCTGCAGCAAAAAGACATTGGAGTGAAGCCTGAGTTCAGGTGAGAGAGAGATTATTGTGGACTCTTTGAGGAGTCCCTGAGATCCTGTCTTAAATAGGTCTCAAGCCAGCCAAAAAGTGTCTTCCTTCACACAATAGCAATTTTTTTTCCCCTCATTTGAGATGGAAAAGTAAAGCTTTGCAAGTGTCATTTTAGGGCAGTCTTTGCATTGATCATTATCTCCTTTGGTTTTATGTTCTTATGCTCTTATCTGCAGGGTACAGAAATGCAAGTGTACCTGGAGTGGAGTTAGAAATATTTTAATATCATTCATTTAATCTCTGAATAAGATAAAACTTGGGTTTTGGACATCCTTCGCAGGAACTCTGTATGCTAAACATTTCTTTCAAATTATTTTGTAGTTTTAATATACCACGTGCAAAGCGAGAACTGGGTCAATTGAACAAATGTACTTCCCCTCAACAGAAGCTACTTTGTCTACGAAAAGTGGTACAAATTATTATGCAATCTCCTAGCCAAAGAGGTCAGTAATCAGTGAATCAATAACTTAAAATTAAACTTTTTTCTTAACCAGTACACATAAAGCACTTTGGTAAATAAACAGCTCTTTGAGTAACATTTGTGGATTAAACACATTTAGACTGGGGTCTGCCTTGCAGGTCTCTAAATAAAGCAAAATGAAGGCAAGATAGACGCTTCAGTGTTGTTTCTCATGGGTGAGGAGGGGTGCTTGGTTAGCTTATATATGTTTAGCTAAAAGCGTGTGAGAAACTTGCATGTGCTAGGACACTTTCTCATGCAGAAGAATTGAGGGTGATCCATTTTAAATACTGAGGATAGCTGCGAGATCATTCTTGTCTATTTGGCCATGCTCCTTGATAATCTTGAAATTGATACTGTTGTGTCTTTTGTGAAATGCAGTGTTCGTGGGGGACAAACAAACCTTCTATATGCTGCATTCAAAGTGCTACCATGGGTTACAGAAATGATTCTGTTAGGAAAGCATGGACCTGTTAACCTGGTCTTTTATCTTATCTAGCCTGGAGAGAGAAGATACTTCCACTGAGTCATACAGTGGACTTACGCTCTCACTACTTCATCTCTTCTCTTCTTCAGGAAGACTCCTGGGTTATGGAAAAGTGCATCAACTTAGAGGATAGGTTTTGCCCTCAGGAATTTCAGAAGTCCTAAGTTAGTGCTCTGGCTCTTTCTGTATAGGAAGGAGGTGATGCTAGTCTAATACTTAAACTTGTACAGTACAAACTGTATTTGTTTTTGGCTCCTGGCAGCCTATTTTAGTGGAAGATTGAGAACATTTGAAGGGATGCCTTGGTTATTCAATGCATTTTCTACTAGTGGAGATGGCCCTTAGGAGGCAGAACTCCATTTTTAGGTATTGCTCTTGATTTGAATCATGAAATGACTAACATGAGATGTAAATTCTTTTTTTAGTTAACATGGAAACTATGTGTGCAGATGATCTTCTCTCTGTTTTGCTGTATTTACTTGTAAAAACAGAAATCCCAAACTGGTATGTAACTACTTTGGCTATACAGAGCTCCATCATGTCATCTTGTATACAATGCTGCTGTAGGGGCAAATGTTTCTGAACATGTAGTAATAACTTGCTGAAAGTGTAAGAGGGGCTGATGTAATGCAGAAGACTGTTTTTAGTAGGACAGGCAGCAAAGATGCATTACAGGTGTGACCAAATTAAGGACCTATCAGGAATTCAAGTGCTGTGTCTTTGCTGTTTTGATTCCCAGCCTCAAAATAGTAATGGGAGGCCATCTCTATACCAGATCTGCATGTCAGTACAGACTTCAGACTGGTCCTTCCTCATCTGTGTTTGGAGCTGTGAAACCTTTATGCAGCTTCTAGATGTTTGATACATTTCATATAGGGAAACTAGATTTGAATGCTTAATTGCTTGCTGCTAGCCTATACCACTGTGTTTATCTCTCCTCGCTATCAGTTAAAGTATATCTAAAACTTCCACCTGTACCTGAACTTAATTTTAGTCTTGGCGTATCCCATATGTCAGACTAGCATTTTTCCTTCAATTTGTATCTATCACTTCACACTGGTGCTTATGGCACTTGAAACATTAACATGTTTGAAACATGTGGAACAATATCCTACTGCTGTCCTCATCCTGTCCTGCATATTCCTTATCCAATTAATAACTTTTTTCACTGAATAGTTGAATTCTGATACATCTACAAAGCTCAGAACAGCCATAGTATTGCTAGCCTAACAATCTTTCTAGAAGATTTTTCTTAACCCACACATGCCATCTGCCTGGACTGCCTGAGATGAATTGCAGTATTAAGATATGTCATGCCAAGAAGTGTCATCTTACTTTTAGTGGTTCATAGCTTTGTCTTTTTATTTCAGGATGGCCAACTTGAGTTACATAAAGAACTTCAGGCTTTGCAGTTCAGTGAAGGATGAATTGGGATACTGTCTAACCTCAATTGAGGCTGCAATAGAATACATACGACAAGGCAACCTTTCTGACAGATCAACAGTAAGCTACTCTTAAAGTCTGTCAAATGTATATTTGATACGCTTATAGGACTGTACCACCATGGGAGTAAATTCAGTCAGAGGATACAAACAGCTAACATAAGAGTTCCTTTTTTGCACTTACAGAAATGAGTTCAGGTAACTAGACCTGAAACAAATGCTAGAATAATCTAGATTATTATAACGAAGTCCTAATCCTATAGCAATACTTGTTCACTGTATACTCCCTGAGGAAGTAGTTAAATGCCAAGTCTGCCTCTTCACATGATTTGAGGAAAAATGACAGCATTATTTTCCACAGCTGAGTCTTCAGTATTTCCTGTTTGTACTCTTTCTGTCATGGTTGTGAAAGCAATGCAGTACTTGAGAGTAGGCATAGCTTAAGCAGATTTCTTTAATTAAGCTCTGCTATTAGAATGGAAATTGCAGTGTTACTTAGAATTATTCAGTAAGTCTTCATACTCTAAAAATTAAATGTGTTTGCAGTGCAGATTACTATGTTGCACCAAGCTGATAGTTTAATAGGAGTGCAGCACTATGATAAGATGGTGTTTGAAGGTCAAGTATGGCTCTGAGGATCTCTAACCTAGTGGGGGCAGGAAGCTTGTGGATGCATGAGTTATTCCCTACTGGGCAACTGGACCTTCTGTCAATCAGGTCAAATCCCTGCAGGCCAATCAAGGATGATGTTGATGTGACTTTAGATACTTCTATGAATTAAGAACTTTGTAGCTTATTTAGTAAAGGAATCCAGTCTTACCGTTCCTGTAAAACTTTCTACTGTTGCAAAATTAGGTTTTCCTGGTCTGATGTGGAAATCAAAAGGAGTGAACTTGGAACCAGAGTGAATTCAACGTGTCTCAGTCTGCCCAACTGCAAAGCACTGGAATCTAATTGCAGGGGCCAGAATAATGGCTCAGTGTGCAGGGCTTGGGATGGGACAACCTGGGGCACAATCTTGAAGAAGCACTCACAGTAATATTTTAGCCTTTTGTTATTGGTTTTGTTGTTTTCTGGGATCTTCCCATGAACCTGTCATGTAGGTTTGTTTTGTACACTCAAAAAAAAAAAAAGACACTTTCATTTTGTGTAAAGAGACTGTGATATTTCCTGTCTGTAATGCTGCATTGAATTATATTTAAAAAAAAAAATAAAAATGTTAGTTTAAAAGGAAAACAACCTGCCAAACAATTTTGCTTCCTGCATTCACTTGACTATCATTAATGGTCAATATACAAGTAGCAATGTTGGTGGGCTGGATGGAGAACTGGAACCAAAGTGGAATTGTCTTCCACAACACTGCCAGCAAGTTGGAAGAAAGAATAGAATATACCGCTATTAAATTTCTGGAATAAAAACTGTTTCCTGTTAAATGCCTAGTCCTATCCCTCCTTATGTAGCTAAGGATAGTGGGATTTTTTTATACTGGGACTGCCCTCAAGTGATTATAATTTACATGCCACCGCCATTAAGGTTCTATATTCATTTCTTTGTGTGGCATCTGTCTTGAAAGATGAACTGCATTATTTGAGAAGTCTAAATGAGGGCAGTCTCATACTGCTTACGTTGGTGTCTACAGCAGTATAAGAGCAAGCAATAGTGTTTCTGTCTGTACTTCAGCTGGATCAGCTCCAGATCTAGAGTTCTAGCCTCCAGCTTTCTCACTTTAATGTGTGTACAGTGAGTGTGCAACAGGGACCCCTTTCGTCTACGTTACCTTTCATAGGAGTCAACATGGCTTGAAGGCAGCACCCTGAGATGAGGTGGGAAACAGTAGACCCTTGAAGATAAGGAAGCTGAAAAGGAAAGAGCTAGACCACCCTTTTTCTAGTGTAGGGTAAGGGAGAAGTTGCCACACAATGAAGAAGAATAAACTGGGTAGCAAATAGCCCCTTGACAGGAATTGAAAAAGGGGTAGTGAGGAGGTGGAGGAACATGGTAGGAACTTTTGATAGCATTGCTTTTCCTTCATGAATTTATCTGATGATGAATAACCTTCATTCTCTGGTAAAGTAGAACAACTTTCTACTTAAAGCAGCAGCAGCTGTTGTGTTGATGCCCCATGATTTCCTTTTCCAGATTGTGCTGGAACGGGTTGTGGGATTTAAGTGAGCAGGAAGGTTGTTGTGCCCTGGGGCTTCATTACAGCCCCTCATGTGGCTATGCTTAATTTTATAGCTGGCTTCAGATGGAGCTTCTGGCAGCTGAGTAATGCTGTTGTCCAATCCCCAATGAAGCTAACTACATAAAGAAAAGTCAGCAGGGAACTAATGTACCCTGTGGGATAATAGGCATATTATCACCCTCATGTCAGTAAGAAAATTGCACTTGGGAGACACCTGCCAAATCCCTTCACCCAAGGTCATGCAAGTCTTGGAGAGACATTTTGGTTGTGGGGAATAGAAGATTACATTTTATTTTCTGGGAATTGTCAACCTCATTTAATGAGAATTTCCAGTTAATAAGTGTTGGACCTTAGTTATGTTCCTATACACAGCTACTGTGTAGTAAGACCCTCTAGTTCAGAGGGTTGAAATAAGGTGTACAGCAGGGAGTTAGAGCCAGCCCCTAGGGAATAGGTAGCATTTTGGCTCC